ATATATACATAATAAATATGCACAGTATATATATTGTGTAAACAAAAACTTTTATTTTGGATGCGATTAATCGCGATTAATCGTTTGACAGCACTAATTTTAATGTAGCTTTTTTAAATCTCAGTAGGAAAAATTGAGTGTCACATCATTGGTCCATATTTCAAAGAGCCTCTTTGATCTTTGGACAGAGTTGTATAAGAGCTGAGTGTATGATGTAAAATCTAAGCTTGCGGTGCACATGGCTGAAATAAGCATCTCTGTTCAACCTCCCCAGGATTACACAGCCACCATCTTTCTTCGCCAGCGCTGGACAGATGAACGCTTGTGTTTTGATGGCAATAAGAGCTTGAGTCTGGATGGGAGATTGGTAGAGCTCCTTTGGGTCCCTGATACATTCATTGTGGATTCCAAGAAATCCTTCCTGCATGACATCACTGTCGAAAACAGACTGATCCGGATATTCCCCAACGGAACTGTGCTATATGCCCTGAGGTAGTGAGGTGTCATTCACTGGATCTGCTCTACAGTCAGACACTGCTGGGTTCTTGTGAAAGGAGATGGTTGAGGAAAGTGTTCACTGTTGAAGGACTGACTGGAGGGTTGATGGAGGGATTAGGGTTTAAGGGGACAACTAGAAAGAGGCAGGGATAATTATGGCCCAGTGGAAGAGTTCACAATGACAGAAAACAGGGTAAGAATAGAAGCAGTGGCAAGGGACTCAAAGCTTGTGTACAGATGGGCAGCTGGCATCAAAAATTTAAGCTTGAAAGTAGCATCCACAGACAGTGAGCTGATTTCCAGTGTTATATAAGCAACAACATTCTCTCATGCATGTCACTCTTTTTTCTCCCTGTTTCTCTAGAATTACTACAACGGTGGCCTGCAGTATGGATCTAACTAAATATCCCATGGACAGACAGACGTGCACCCTTCAACTTGAAAGCTGTAGGTCTCAAATAATATGCTATTTCTATAGATTTGAAACAATTTACAACACATTGGGTTTCATTCACTTGCAATTGCTTAAGTGTCCACAAAATAGAACATTTATATAGGCCTAGGTTACACATGACTGTATTTTTATGCATGACCATATCAGATAAATGCACCATATTGTAATGCATATTTTGTGTTATTCTGAAATACGAAAGACTCAGAGTTTAAAATATATTTATAAATTGTTTAAGATTCTGTCTTTCAAAAAGTTTATTTGATTGATATGTTTTAATATATAATATATGCTTAATATACTTTTAATTTATATTATAAAAATATATATTATAAAATATATTATCTTACAAAAATATATTATAAAAAATATACATTTGATATATATATTTATGATATATACTGTCCAAACCTTTGAATAGTATTATATATTATACTGTTATATGTAACAGTATATATATAAAAATATATTATCACAATTTAAAATATATATTTTAATATAATTTTATTATATACCTTTACTATACGATATAGTATATTTACTGTTTACTATATTAATATATTCTTATATTTTAAAATCTTTGTCCTTGTGATGGCAAAGATTACTTTTCTGATCAGTTTACACGTCTTACACGCAAATAAATGTTATTGCAATAGTAAGTGAATGTCTGAATGAGAATGGTGTTTTTTGAGCTGACCTTATATTGCTTTTAGTCTCTTCCTGAATCTGCAGTACAGAATGCTGTGTTCCCACCAAAGTGTGATTTAGTACACATTTGCTGTGTGGCAGGCATAAAATATGTGCATGTTTCAAGACTTTTTCTAAATTTGTGAAGTTCCTGTGAAATATTAATTTCACTAATGATGGATGCTCCTAGGTGTACACCATAAATGTCCCTTTAGTTGTTAAAAATTCATCTGCATACAAGGTCTTCCGTATGCTCACTCGCCTAAGACTTCTTTGTGAGTGTTTGGCTTGGCATGTATGAATATTAAAGAGGTTTTATATTATTTAGACACATAAGCATTATGCTGATATGTTACATTGATTCTGAAGCCACTATAAGATAAGGCAGCAGTCATTCAAAAATATTGTAAGGTTTACTTTGTCAGCTGGTGTTACATGTGCTGGATGATTTTGGCCAGTTGAATGGACATTACCCTGCTGAAAAGACTAGTATGGCTGGTCACCAGCATATGATGTGTTTTGGATGCTGGCGTCTCTACCTGGCTTCTACCTTAACAGAAAGACTGCTGTATGTGCTTTTTGGCAATACCCGAAGGATTACTCACACAATATGCAGCAGGAGATAAATGAGCCAGCTATTGTAGACCATCACCAAACCAAAAATATAAACTAGCCTTGGCCAGCATGTTAATTCTTAGTTGTGTACGCTGGTATTTACAGCAGGACATATCTAATTGCTGGGTGGAATCAGGGCAACATATTTCACAATGTTTTATGCTCTAGATGGAGGAAAAATATTTAATCTGTGTAGCAAGTTATTTTTATGAGATTTCTTTTGCACACTAAACTATGACACAGTGCCATCTTGAGGTGTACATTATGTATTACAACAAAATACAACATGCTGCAATAATAGAGCTGCTTATTTTTCAGTTCTAAAACCCAGAAAATATTTTTCAGTTTATGAAAAAAAAAAAAAGTAAGTAATTAACATTATTTGAAAACAGATTTCTAAAATGGAAAATGGGGACGTTTCCTAGTTCAGTGTTTAAAATATAATTTAAATCTCACTTGTTATTATCTGTGAATTAAAAAATTGGGACAATATATTTTTGTACCCCCCCTTACTATTAGGGGGTATACTATTATTTATTTATTTTTGTTTGTTTGTCAAACTAACCGTAACTGGCTTTAATACAATTCACCAAAAATCACACTATGAAAACAGTCAAATTAACCATTATAAATAGCAGATCAAAACAGTATTATATTATAACAAAATTATGACTTTACAAGAACACATTGCAAAAATTTGTGAGATGATAAAATTCTATTTAGCAAAAACATTTTCTCGTATTTAATATTTTTTTCAAACTGTGAATACACTGTATACAGTGATTAAAACAAGTATATTGTTGCAAGTGTAATTGTCTAGCTGATTTTAAAAAAAGATAAGAAAATGCTAACAAGGATGTGTTTTACATGCTTACCGAATCAGACAACTGTTGCAGTCCTTATTTAGCAACTTTCCGTAGGGAACTCGTGAATTAACATTTCAGGCTGGCCTACAAATGACTGCATTGTTCTCTTCATAATTATTGATGTTATGGTAATGCCTATATCATAGCGTAATGCTCTAGTAGCGTTGCATATAAAATTAGTGGTAATTGAATGCTTTTTTTACTGCCGTATAAGTGTAATTTGGTGGAAATATAGCAGCTCTCAGCAGTGGAATTACTTATTATGTAGTGATAATTGGCTCTTCAATTTATATTATGTTTTCCACAGGGGGATATAATGTGAAAGATGTGGTTTTCCATTGGACACGGGGAAACCAGTCAGTTAGTGGTCTTGATCATTTACAGCTGGCTCAGTACACCCTTGAGGATCACTACACCTCTGAATCTGAAGCCGTTTATGAGACTGGTTTGTCCACACACACACACACACACACACACACACGTCTGGTTTGCTATCCTTGTGGGGACTCTCCATAGGCGTAATGGTTTTTATACTGTACAGACTGTATTTTCTATCGCCCTACACCTAAACCTACCCCTTACAGAAAACTTTCTGCATTTTTAGATTTTCAAAAAAACTCATTCTGTGTGATTTATTAGCTTGTTTACCCGTGGGGACCTCAATTTAGGTCCCCACCGTGACACGAGTCCCCATGAGTCTGTTTGTGTTCAGGTTTAAGTCCCCACCAGAATAGAAAAACAGGTACACACACACACACACACACACACACACACACACACACTGGAGACTTTATGTGCTGTATTGATGTTTTTACTTTCTCTTTAATAATGTAACAGGTAATTACCCAAAGTTGATCTTCCACTTCAAACTCAAGCGGAGCATCTTATATTTCATTCTGGAGACGTACGTTCCTTCCAGTGCTCTGGTGGTCCTGTCATGGGTCTCATTCTGGATCAGTCAATCTTCAGTACCTGCTCGCATCTGCATAGGTAGGAACATAATGCAATCATTAGTTACCACATTAACATGTGATCATCAAAATGTATCAACACCTCCTCAGTATTCAGCAGCTTGATGAATGACACAAATGTCAGAGGTCCTTCTGAAATTACATTTGTACAAAATTTGTTAGAAAAAAAATTCTCAAACACATCCTGAAACAAAGCATCACAGTTTTCACAAAAACTATTAAGCAGCATAACTGTTTTAAACATTGATCATAAAAAGAAATGTTTTTTGAGCATCAAATAAACATATTAGAATGATTTTGAAGGATCATGAAGACTGGAGTAATGGCTGCTGAAAATTCAGCTTTGCCATCACAGGAATAAATTACATTTGAAATATATTAAAATAGAAAACAGCTATTGTAATAATATTTCACAACCTTGCTGTTTTTACTGTATTTTTGATCAAATACAGTGCCTTGGTGAGCATAAGAGACCTCTTTCAAAAACATTAAAAACTCTTACCAGCCACAAACGTCTGAATAGTATTCCTTCAGGTACAGAATCAAGAACACATTCTGTTTGCGACCAACAGAAACATGCAAGTAGTTGTAATTAAGAATCAAAAGTTGTAAAGTATTATCGCTAGTTAGTGTTGTTGATATTGCTTTATTGTAAATATTTTTTTCATATGTCATGCTCCCATTGGTGGACACCCTGCTCATTACAAGTCAATTTTCTCTACTGATGTAACCGCTTGGCAAAAGAACAGATTTTGTTCTTATATTAATAGTTTCAGATCACATAATCCATTTCTCTAACGACATAGCTAATGCAGTGGATCTGGATTTGCTTTTCACATAAATAACTTATGCAACACTCTTGTCTAATAATAGCTTGTATCTGACCTAACATCATGCTCTCTTCATCACCACAATAACCACCTTCTGAATCCCAATGTAACAGTCACATTAAGCTCTAACAAGTGTCATTATTATTATTCCCCGAAACACGTAAAATAACTCAATTTATTTTGTTCTGATGACTCAATTTAGAAAGTTAGGACAACATTTGGACAAGTTTTGAACAAATACTTGAATATCTAAGTAGGGTCAAGAAAACAACTTTTGGTATTAACATATTTAGAGTATCGTTGTTTCACACAAAGTAAGACTCTGAGAGTGTATTGGATTCATTAATGTTTTATAACTCAATACTCTTTGTCGTTAACTCATAGGAGTGACCACAGTCTTAACTATGACCACCCTTATGATGGGAGCCCGCACCTCTCTACCCAATGCCAATTGCTTCATCAAAGCTATCGATGTGTATCTGGGCATCTGCTTCAGCTTCATCTTTGGCGCTCTGATTGAATACGCAGTCGCTCATTTCTGCACATTACACCAGCCAAACGCTGCCAATGCATATATGGTGAGAATCTTAAAAAAAAGAGAATGTGGCCTATAAAAAAATTATTTATGCTGCTTGTTAAATTAACTTATAGCAACACAATTGTTATAGATGTTTATTGTGTTCAATCCATTTCGATGTATGAAAGTTTGCTTCAGTTTAATCCATTTTTTGTTGCATTCATTGAAATGTACTATACTTTAATGTATCAAGTCTCAATGAGATCTACAATGAGAACTGTATATAATGTGCAAATGTCACTGCAGTGACACGTAATTTCCTACTTTTGCTCTTCAACATTAACAGGTCTTTCCATTTACTCAAAACACTGACTTGAATATATTGGAATCTACTCAATACAACTGAGCTGATATAACTAAAAAACAGTGACTAACTAAAAAATATATGTTTAATATTAAGAATATTAAGACCACTTACCTTAAAGGAATAGTTCACCCAAAAATGAACATTTTCTGAAAATTAACTCACCGTCAAGCCATCTAAGATGTAGATGAGTTTGTTTCTTCATCAAAATACAAAGACATTTAGCATCACTTGCTCACCAATGGATCCTCTACAGTGAATGGGTGCCGTCAGAGTGAGTCCAAAAAACATAACAATAATTCATGACTAATCCACACGACTCAAGTCCAGTCCATCAATTATCAACAGATTTCACTGGAGAAAGCAATATTGTGGATAGAGGATTCACATTTTCGCCATAAGCAGTGATTAAGTGATGAAGTTTAAAAAATGTCTTGATGATAGATTTGTTTATTACAAACACACAGCTTTTAATTTCATAAGACTTTAATCTATGGACTGGAGTCATGTGGATTACTTGTGGATTATTGTGATGTTTTTATTAGTTGTTTGGACTCTCATTCATACGGCACCCATTCACTGCAGAGGATCCATTGGTGAGCAAGCAGGTTAATGCTACGTTTCTGTTCAGAGGAAAAACAAATTAATCTATATCTTGGATGACCTGAGGGTGAGTAAATTTTCAGCAAATTTTAGTTTTGAGGTGAACTATTCCTTTAAAAATATTGAGAAAAATAAAAAAAGGCTTTTTTAAAGTATAGTAATGATACCATAATGCCCATTAATTGCAGTAGTCATAACAATAAATCAAACATATTTATGTCTCATCGTTGCATCAGGATGGCCAGGAAATGCAGGAGCGCGAGGATGAGATGAACGGCATCGTCACTTCCATCGGCAGCCGCGCTTTGCGGGCCCGTAAACGGGAGGAGATGCTGTCCCGGATGGGCAGCACCAGCAACCCCACCCCCAGTGAAAGTAAGGAGGACATCAACTCCTCGCAGCCACAGACCCGCTGCACCAAATGCATGTCGACGGCACGCCAAATCGTGCGCTGTCTGAACTGCTGCAAAGTGGAAAACCCGCACTACATCGACAACTACTCAAGGCTGACCTTCCCCCTCTCCTTCATCTTCATCAACCTCCTCTACTGGACATACTACTTGTACTTCTAAAGCTCCTGTTGTCTGTGTGTGTGTTGAGAGTCAATAGTGATGTATGTGTGTCCCTTTTTGTGTCACAGTTTACCTAGGGGTTTTTACTCTTACATGTCAGCATGCATTTAAGTTCAACTTGAGTATGACTAACTTGAGTTCATGTCACCCAAGTATGCGTCATTCCTTGAGGTACGCAGGATCTGAGTGAGTTTGGACTACACAGATATATGCAGATTTGTACCATGTCTACATCTCTGTGTCAGAAATATGTGGCCTTCATTTTCCGATAGAGCTTTAGATTCACTCAAATCCACAACAAAATCGGCCTAGCTGTAAATTGCGATATGAATTTATGATATCTGTACAACTATTTAAAATTGACATGAATGTTAGTATAATTACTTGTCTTTTAGCACAAAAAAGCATGATTTATAAATCACTGTTGACACACGCAACAAAACATAAGCAATTCATGAAAGCGAAAGTTGGAAAAAAATAATAAGAATGGTTTAATTTATTAATTGAACTTCAGAATCGTTTCAGCATGTTTGACAGCTATAGTAATAATAACCGGACCAAAGATTTAATGTGTATCTAATGTTCATAATTACAATCTGAATTCATATGAGCGCAAGTTATGCATTGTTTTTGGGGCATATACTGTATGTATTTGCAAATTCAGCAGTCATATGTCTTGTTATCAGCTGCCAAACAAGAATCAAGCTGTTTTGACTCATTTTCTCCTGGTGATTTATCTGTGTGAGTTGTATGGGTATATTCTCTTAGGGATAGAAGCTCTGATTATGAATGATTCTGTATTATTTGCATGATCATTTATTTATTCTGCTGTATATTGTTGTATTTGTTCATTTATTTTTTTGGTAATGAAATGCTTTTATCTGATCTAAAGCTCTTTGACCTAGTTAAAGTTGGGCCATTAAAGGAATAGTTGACCCAAAAATGAAAATATGCTGAACATTTTCTCATCCCCAGGCGATATAAGATGTAGATGAGTTTGTTTCTTCACTGGAACAGATTTGGAGAAATTTAGCATTGCATCACTTGCTTATCGATGGATCCTCTGCAGTGAATGGGTGCCGTCAGAATGAGAGTTCAAACAGCTGCTTAATTTCCGACAAAAAAGCATGATTTATAAATCACTGTTGACACACGCAACAAAACATAAGCAATTCATGAAAGCGAAAGTTGGAAAAAAATAATAAGAATGGTTTAATTTATTAATTGAACTTCAGAATCGTTTCAGCATGTTTGACAGCTATAGTAATAATAACCGGACCAAAGATTTAATGTGTATCTAATGTTCATAATTACAATCTGAATTCATATGAGCGCAAGTTATGCATTGTTTTTGGGGCATATACTGTATGTATTTGCAAATTCAGCAGTCATATGTCTTGTTATCAGCTGCCAAACAAGAATCAAGCTGTTTTGACTCATTTTCTCCTGGTGATTTATCTGTGTGAGTTGTATGGGTATATTCTCTTAGGGATAGAAGCTCTGATTATGAATGATTCTGTATTATTTGCATGATCATTTATTTATTCTGCTGTATATTGTTGTATTTGTTCATTTATTTTTTTGGTAATGAAATGCTTTTATCTGATCTAAAGCTCTTTGACCTAGTTAAAGTTGGGCCATTAAAGGAATAGTTGACCCAAAAATGAAAATATGCTGAACATTTTCTCATCCCCAGGCGATATAAGATGTAGATGAGTTTGTTTCTTCACTGGAACAGATTTGGAGAAATTTAGCATTGCATCACTTGCTTATCGATGGATCCTCTGCAGTGAATGGGTGCCGTCAGAATGAGAGTTCAAACAGCTGCTTAATTTCCGATGAAGAAACAAACTCATCCACATCTTGGATGGCCTGAGGGTGAGTCATTTTCATTTTTGGGGGAACTATTCCTTTAAGAACTGCACTACAGTATTTTTGATAGCAGAATATTTTTGTGAAAATGCCAATTTGCTAATGGCATATTCAACACTGACATTTACAAGACTTCTTGGCAGATTTTTATGCATTGTTAATGTCAATTGCTCTTATTTGCATATAGTTTGCAGTATACATTTTTTCCCACTGTCAACAAAACATGTTTTGTTATCAATATGTTATAGAGAATTGCCGGTTTGTATGACCTTTTTCACAAACATGTTATTCACCTGACCTTTGTGGGTAAATCTTTTCTTTTGCTGTGAATGTCATACTTCTTACAGGTGAATATATTTTGTGCTCAAGCTGTACAAATATTTTTATGTTCTCCTTTTGCACTGAGATTTTGAATTACAAAGGCAATATTACTTTGCCAAGAAGCATTTTGTTTTTGTATATACTGACTGAATATTGCAAATGATGTTGACCAAATAATATTTATTATTAATGCTGTTATTTTAATAATGCATGAAAGTTGCATACCATAGTTAGAGAGACAACAGGCCATGTTGCTATGTTTTCCATGCATGAGTAGTTCTTCATCTGTTTCCACGGATTTGGACATAATAAACAGTTGTACAATCCATAAGACTGGCTTTAAAGTAATCTGTTTCAAGACAGAACATAATATTTGTATGAAAAAAATACATTTTAGTTGTTCTTTTGTACATTTACATGTACACACTACTGTCTGGAAACATTTATTAACATTTTGACAAATGTAACTGCCAGGTTTCTCTGTACTGTACAAAAACAAATAATGGTAGCGAAATTTACAAGTTGTAATGTCCTGCCACAAAATCCTTCAATGGCAGTGGCTTCTTAGAGTCCTATGACCCCTTACTGATGAGTCAGTTCTCAGTATTCATTTATTTTTACCCTCATCTAAATCTAAAATCAACTCAATACAGAAGGACACACTTGGCAATACATTTGTCACTGCAGAATATTACTGCCCTTAGAATAGTATGTTGTCAGCGCTGATCTTGATGCCAAAAACTGGTCTTTAGCACTTACTTCCAGAAATGAAAATAACAGTATGTTATAATTTCACAATATCACATTCCTTTGCAGTATTTATAGTAGCTTATAATATATTAAATGCTCACTGGACAAAATTTGGATTTAAGCATGTAAATGAACACTGTTAATGTGTAATATAAGGTTGCATTTAGCCTCAAATTGAGAGGCATAAAATTAATGTTTCAATATAATTTTTTTTGTAGAATTGTATGTATTTATTTATTTTCGATGTAGTAAGATATTTCATGTATCACTATGCATGTAAAGTTAATGTTTAGGATAATAAAATATTTTTATTGAAAGATGAATATTTGTGCATTTGTCAGCTTATAATTATTTGTATTCCACCTTCCAGAAATGTGATTTCTTAGCTTCCTTGTTAAAAACAATTACCACTTAATTTACCAACATTCATTAACAACATCATCATTATTCATAGCCTAACTGAAACCCAACCACATGGTGGCGCTGTGATGTCAACTTCACACAGCAATTCTCATTGATTTTCTACGTTAAAAAGAGTCTCGGTCTCTCTCATCTTCTTCTTAAGTACGACCCAATACCTATTATCTTGGTCCCAAACCTGTATAATCAGCTGTCTCTTAATCCTGAAGATAGCGTGTCGGAGACGGTTAAATAGATGAAGAGATGGGAATATGGGCCATGGGGTTGTTAACATCCCAGTGAGATGTCCAGTCAGCCATGCTCAGTCTCTTTCTCCTACTTCATCTATCACACAAAAGGGGAATGGATATCAAGGGCAAAAAATCAGCACACTTCATCAAACCCCCTCCTCTATCAGTCAGACACATGACAGCTGCAAGCATTAGTTGTGCACTGCAATATGCTATTAGGCTATTAACATGGTGCCATATATATATTACATTAATTATTATTTGTTATATTTAAAAATAAATAAATAAATGATTAGATTTTTATTGCCTTGAATACAACTTAAAGAATAAGGTAATAACAATGTAAAAAATAATACAGTAATATAATAAAATAAAATTACACAAAAATAAAAAATTAATAATACTAATAAATAAAAACAATAAAAAATCAAAACACATATATGTAATATATACAAGTAGTAATACATTGTATAGCCTATATTATGCTATGTCTCTGTGTGTATAAGCATATAGGCTACTGTATCACAAGAAATTGATTTCATTTGATGTAACATTATGTTTATATTAAAAAGGCAACTGGTTTCATAGATTACAAATCATCCAGAGGGAATCTGTGAAGCACGTATAATGTTTAAGCTTTAGCCTTTATTTATTTAGCTCGGCGGAACACTGAGAGGTGCAGCCACGGTGCATTATGTCACTGAGTCACACCACTTTCTGCACAGATGAGCTGCTCTCTTACTCCCCTACCGCACTCTCCAAACTCTCTGAGTCAACAAGCACATTTGGCGAGTAAGGAAAAAGAGCCAGTACATTCTGTCTGCACCTGGAGCAATGAGGGCCAGGTGGTATGCATGTGGCTCAGAGACAGGAAGGTCAAAAGCTGTACAACATGGATCATTTTCCACTTTTGTCCCTTTTTTCCTCTCTCATAAAGGGTAAAAGCCCTGCCCCTTCTGCTCTATTTTCAGATTTCATCTCACATGTAAAGCACCAGTAATTTTATATTCTGTCCACATGACGCAAAGCAATGTGTGTGTTAAGCAGAATATCCAGCATTTGTATTCAATAGTGCAGCATATGTATATACAAGGATTTGTGTGTGTCTGTGTGTCTACCTGAAGTGTGGGAGCTATCTGAAGAACACAGTTGAGAACTGAATTATGGATGAGGTCATCTTCCAGCAATGTTTGTATATATACAATTTATTATTGATTTAGTCAGCAAGACCATATTCCCTTATGGCTGATCTGTGAAAGTGGATGGGACTTTCTGAATAAACTGAGTCCATCTTGAGGAGAAAAAGTTGCTCAATCACTCCTTGAAAGTTACAGAACATTATTTCACTCTTAAAATTAGCTTTCTCAACTCTGGGCACACATTTGGCATTTTGATTGACGGATTCAAACCAATGCACATTGGAGCTGAATTGCCTTGGTCAGGCTTTTCATTTTCTAGAAGAGACCGGGCTCACGTGAGTAGCCTAATATTATCAAAAGGACTATATTTCAGCAGCTCCATTTGAGGGAAGTTCAATTACACAAAAGTGTAGCATTGGTTTTAAGAATTTAATTCGAAACACTCTTAAATTAACAGATTTCTGAGCCAAGTGAATTTTGAATGCAGCTTCCAAAAGACAATAAATAGCCGAATAATTTTTTTATATATATATTTGATACAATCACACCGGTGTGATTAGATCGTTCAGTGCGGCACAGCATCAGCTGCTAAATTATGTGTTCGCTGGCTGGCGCTGAGCCAGAGACAGACGCGTTTGTACAGCGCTGCATTATAACCAATCACACACAATTCTGTTGAGCTTATGAATGCAATAGCCAATCAGAGGCGTTCAGATGAGTCATCGCTGAAACGC